GCCTAACGTATGCAGGGCTTTATTTTGTATTAATGGCAGGACCAAATAATTTCAATTGTGCTTTTCCTAGGAAATTTGCTGAAGGCCTTGGTCCTGTAGGTGACGGACAAGCTGGGTTGTACTGTACTAAAAAAAAATGTCAGTGAAAAATCTACTAGTACAATAATCCTTATGTGGTTTACCTTAGGGAGATCAAGTCATCAAAACAGAGAAGAATAGCAAAAGAATCAGGCTTGGAGAGAAAAATAAAAATAAAGTCAAAACCAATGAAGAAAGTCCAGCGTCAGAAGTAATCACTGAAAGTTTGCCAGAAAAATCAAAAAGGAAATTGGAAAATGTTGATAATGAAAACACTACTGTTAAGGTAAGAACACAAAGGTGGAAGGAAAATGTAAAAATAAAATTGTTCCAGAGCTGCTTAATGTTGTACATTGTTATAGGCAAAGTGAATTGTTTACTCTCTTAAAAAATCATCTCATCCAATTTTCTGAGATTCTTCTTGCCCACAGTCAGGGAAGTCATTAAATTTGAGCAATAATCCAACATAAACATAAACCAACATTAATTTGAAACTGTTACCAAGCTAAAAGGGTATTGTTAAAGAGGGGTACTGATGGGAGGAGGGGTCACGCTCACGAGATTAAAAGATTACGCTTTTGCCGCGATCGTGGATATCGACGAGGATTTTTCCCCACGTGTGTCGATGTCTCTGCGGCTGCGGGAAATGTTTAATATTTTGCTGTGATTGCGGAAGACAATAATGATATCCACACGACCGCATGAGACGTTCAGAATTTTGCTGCGATAATGGAAGACAGTTTTAACGTTTCCTTGACCGTGTGCGGTATTCTAGATTGTGACGCAATTGCCGAAGACGACGATAACGTTTCTTTTTCCGTGAGTGATATATCTAGGATTTTGCTGTGATTGCAGAAAAAATGACGTTTCCGTCTTTGCGTGAGATATTAGGGATTGGGCCGCGAACGCGGGAGATGATGTTGTTATCTGTAGATGTCCCAGGTTTGGTTGCAATCACGGTAGACTAAGATAATGTTTCAATGACTAAGGGAAGTATTCACAAAATTTTCCGCGATCATGTAAGAAGATGATGACGCCTTGGTGCCTCAGGAGATGCCGTGCCAAGCAAATGTGCAAGTTTAGGCGGAAATCCTGTGATAATGTTTTTAAAGGTTATTGGGAGAGGGGGGGGGGGCAGGCTCTTATCGCCGCCACTGATCCATGGTGATGGTTCAGGTCAAAGCAATTATAACAAAATCAGTGAAATGACTGTTGAAGTGAAGATGGCAAAGTCACCAGAGGCAAGCTTTAGCCTTTTAATCTTTTGTACATCTATAACGGTTATAGTCTGGTTTTGATCTAATATCCTGGCAAAAACTTAAAGATGATGAACTTAGCTCGTAAGCCCTGGTAAACAGAAGTTGAGTATGTAGATGGTTTAATCCTGAGTAAAGTACTACTGCTCAATGCAAAAATGTAATTGATAAACAATCTGTTATTCCAGAGCTATCAAAACATTCCAAGAAATCTACAAATGAAAAACTCCAAAGGGAAACTGAAAATGAGGCATCGGAACAGGAATAAGGTAATATAATAAATCACAATCATTCTGAAGGTTTTATTTTGAAGCCTAAGCCTTATTCAAATAAGCTAACCAGCTAGAATGTTTATTTTTACTTTACATTTAGCAATCCAACCGTGATTTTCCAGTGTTTTAAGTATTTTGTAATTTTAAAACTAAACAGTGGCAGTTAAAAGCCTCAACTTAATTTGGTGTTATCGTACCATGCAGTTTTTGCTTAAAGTTTTAACTTTGTAAACTGTTACTGTTTGTATTATTTTCCCTGTGTCAAATAAATAAATGTCTCATGTTTAGTAAGAAATTCACTGGATCATCTACAAAAATTGTTTTCCGTACGGAGAAAGCTGTTAAGAATTTAGGATAGAAAATCAGTTTTATTATATTTCTTTATATTAGGTTGTAGCTAAAATAAACCAACCAACTTTTTTAGCATTAACACGTTCGCTACCGATCGCCACATATTTGCGAAACTGCGGTCATTGCCACGGCCGGAGGTATACATTTTATTTAATATTACACATAGACCGGGTGTCACTTGGTTAATAGTATACGCAGACCAAGGACTACAGATGGAGCAAAGTAAAAATAGTTTTGCCAACTATTTATATGACGTCACTAATCATCATATCCACAGACCAAGTGATGCACATATGCGACAGACGTCCCTGTAGAGAATTCAGGGCTTTCTCAACATAGACCGTTACGAAGATATAAGCATTTTAATAACATTGGACACTGACGCAAACATGCTTCGTCAGTCTATTTTAATGAGACCAGCTGTCGCATATACAGTCCAACCTCAGTATAACGAATCTGAAGGGACCCAACTGAATATTCGTTATATCAAGGATTTCGTTAAAACGAGGTTCGTTATATAGAGGTTATGTTAGCAGGAATTTCGCTAAGTCGAGGTTCAGAACCAGCGTCGGTCAATATAGGTCGGGATTAGACATCATTAAAACACAATTAAAGTAGCATAGGCTACAATACTTTACAGTGCAGTGTTTACATTGTACAGTAGAACCTAAACTATCCGGAATAAAAAAGGGGAGGGATCTTGAATATTGCGCAATCATTAAAATGGCATTGACCTTGGTACAGGTTAAAAAACTGTTAGTTTAAAATCACAGCTTATTCTAACCCTCCTACAACCTAGCAAAACACTGTATTGCGTAGTCATAAACCATGTAAAGAACAAAACAAAACAGTAGTAGAAAGTTTTGTAAGCTACTGCTCGTGATAGGCCGGTGGTAGGCTACTTACAGTACAGTACTGACTTATCACAACAGAGGAATGTCAATAATAATCATTAACTATAGCATTGGTGTTGCTAGTTGAAACAAATCGCATTGAAAACAATACAGTAAATTATTAAATAAGTCATTATAAAAGTGTATAATCATAGCCAACTTAAAGATAATAAAAACACTCGAAAAAGGAATGTTAAAATAACGATGTTGCTATTCTTTCTCTTTGGTTTTGTTTTTATATTCTTTCTTAGGTTTCTCTTTATCCAAAAATTGTACAATTCACCATAGTTACTTATCGCCCAATCACAGCTTACTAAACATTACGTCGTCATCAGTCCTCAGTGAATTAAATTAGTTCTCAGTTGCAACATAGCGCGCGCAGCGACAGCAGACAGAGATGTGTAAAACGGAGCAGACGAATGTTAGCGCAAGCGATGACGTCACCTTTCCATTTCATTTGATAAAGAAACAGATTTTTCAAAAACAATAATGGGGTGGGGGATTTGTTATATCGAGCGAAAGACGTAGACAATTCGCTATGCAGAGGTTGAATTCGCAATGTAGAGGTTCTGACAATGATAAATTCGCTATATTGAGGTGTCTTATTTTAGCCGAAATCACGAAAAATTTGTTAAATCAAGGTCGTTGTTATGGTTTGTTCGTTATGTAGAGGTAAAATAAACATTGTGTCTTATGGAGAATTCTAGGGGATTTAAAAAAATTTGTTATATCAAGGAATTCGTTGTATTGAGGTTCGTTATATCAAGGTTAGACTGTATGTGAAGGCAGTCTAAATGTAGAAACTGGCCGTCGTATATGTTTTTCGCTGGTCTATATGGATCAAAGATTTAGTACTATTGGGGTAGTGAATATATTAATGTTTCAACATTGACTTTAGATACTGAAGTAAGGACCCATCCATACGCACTTGTCAGCTTTTTACTTTAGAGACCATATACAAAAACATGATCAAACCTGTCGAAGTGGTGTTTTGATTTCTTCTTATTATTCATTCTATGCTAGATCTTATGGACACAAAGGACGCTCTTGTTTACAATGTATTGCACTTTAGTTTGGCAGAATAAAAAGTTGGTGTATGAAAGGAAAGGGCGATAAGATAATTTGAGACTATTCCAAAACCAAGACAGCGTTTAGGTCATATTCCTGTAAGTTTTCACATAGGTACATTCTAGATTTATGTTTGGTACTGGTTACATTTAAAAGTTTTTCTGGTTTATAAGTTTAAGGTTATGTGGTGGTTTGCTTCTCGCAAACATAACATTTTCTATATGCTACTTCTTTTTCTAGAGATACTCTCTCAAATTAGTTATGACTGGCTAACAGATGCATCTACTTTGTTTTACCAATTACAGGAACAATGGGTGATAAAGAAAAGTACTTCAAGTTCCACCAAAGATGGTAACCCTCAAACAGTTGATATCAAACACAAGCAAAATAAACTGAATAAAATGTCCAATGGTCACAAGTTTGTTGGAGATTCAAATGCGAAGAAATTTCAATCAAAGGAAAACAAACATTTCCAGAATCTCATTGTAAAAGAAAAGAAAAATAAGCAGAAAAAATTACGCAAAATACGTTCCAAGAAGCAAAAAGCAGCTAATGTTCTTGGTAAAAGATGAATTTAAGATGGTGGAAAAAAATCATAAATGTAAATATCAGTGAATGTTATTGTTTGTTCTTTGAACGGGGGAAAAAAGTTAAAAACATTTTCATTACAGTATTATTTCTACCCTTATATCTTCTGCACCTAAGAAGTATTTTTGTAGAACGGTAGAAGTATTTTTGGAAAGTGAGAGTTCAGCAATCATACCTTAGAAAGTCAAAGGCCAAACAATTAAAGGTTAAACATAAAATTGTTATCACGTTACAGTGGTTTAGGTTTATTAATCTATTCTGTATCAGTACTAAAGGTTATTTCGTCCTATTTCGGTTGCATCTATTACATCCTGGGCTCGTTAATTTTCTCTGTTAAGATATCTGAACTCTATTCCTTAAGCAGCTGCTTGTCCATATTTTAAACTTCCCAAGAAAATATACACATCACAAGTAGTTTGTTGTCACAAGAAGGAGGGTACAAAATAATTTACTCTTTTGGTATGTTCTTTTTGAACAAAAGTTTTATTCTCTACATTAGGTGCATAGTTTAAGTTGACATGATGAATCCTTGTGTGTTATCAAGTAAACTGAATTATATAATAGGAATGTAAAAATTGTTGGACCTATTAGATACATTTTCCTTTCAAGAAATGTAAACTAAACTCTTAAGGGATGCATGAGTAACATTCATTTCCTGGTTTAAACCAATGATCCATGACATTTTATGCTATTGGTAAAAACAGTTACATTCTAAATTAATTCCAATAAAAAATTCCTTTACGTAATAGTTTGTTGCCTGCATCAAATATGATCAATAATTTCTGTACCCTGTACTTTTCGATAAAAAAACTTTCTAAATACATCCATACTCGGAATACTCCTTAAAGTATTTTTTACAAACATTTAAACTAGGCTTATATTCACATTATCATACAAACTGAAAATGCTACAGCAAAATACATTGAAAAAAATAAAAATATTTACAAATCTTTTTTAATGTGTGCTTGTACATGACATTAATATTCAACATTTGTCACAAGTATAAAAAATTAAAATGAAACGTGGAATGTAAAATGTGGGTAGTTGCGTTTGTTGATGGAATATGGTGACAAAGATCAGACTAAACTTTTAATCGGTGTTTTGTGAAGTAGAGCAGGTTGAAATTTGTTAGTTTGTCTTTCACACTTTTGTAACTAGTCAATAGTAAAAGTGTGCAAAAGCAATGAATGAATGTAGTTGCAGTTGATGGTATATGAAGGTGCTGATGAACATAGACATAGATGTACAGTCTGTGTCCTGTGAGCGCAGATGTTGTCGTCTTTACGTCCACACACCCGAAACTTTCACACAGTACACAGACCGCAACTTGTGCCGAAGCACTGAACACTTCTTCTCTGGCGATAATCTCAGCCTTTTGACGAAAAACTTGAATTTATTCGAGAATAAGTTTGGCTTCTTCTCCGTCGATCGTTCGTTGGAGACCATTCTTCAGCGCAAACTCCCTCTTGATGTAGGCAAACAAAATGTCAGTTATGAGGAAAATCTGAAAAAAATAGTTTTGCTGAGTATGCATAATTGTAATTTTAGTTTACAGCCTAACTTAATAACTTATAACCTAATTTTTTAACTTAACATATTTTACTTCTTAACAGCTCCGGGAGTTGAAAAACAAAATACAAGAAATTTAATTATTTTACTGTTTTCCGACAATGATAGAGGGTTAATAAAGTTACCTGAGCTGTAGCGAATGCTAATGTGACTCCGAAGTAAAAGTTGGCGTTTGCAGAGCGACAATAGATCCATAGATGCCACAACACAGGGGCCAACACAGAGGTTACTAGGAAGAAACATCCAACTACGAAGCCCTGCTGCATGTCTGGATAATGGAAATAAAAATTATGTTATGACGATTTACTGACATACCCACACTTTGATTGTTTGATTGTTGTTCAAAAGCATCTACATACAGTAGCTTCATAAAATTATAACAACGCATGTTGTTGGCAACACATAAATTCAACATTTAGCACACATGAACACAGTTACACTAAAAACATAGGATTGTGTATGTTATGGCTGGGTGTGCATTTGTTTCTGTGTGCTAAATTGAATTTTAGGACATTTCCCTACAGGAAGAAGCTATTACCGTAGGTGGCATGGGAAGATTTGGTTAGAGTAAGCCAAATGTAACATACAATAGTCTTGATTATCTGATCTTAACAATCCGAACCTCCCAGCTGTTGTGTCAAACGGCATCCTGAATCCGTGTGTTATGATTGTGCACAACAGCAGGTACATCACCCTTTTGTCACCCTGTCCTACTAGAAAGGTACAAGACAGACCTCACGCACTGGTATTTTAATCTCCTTTTTTTATTATTTTAGCGTGCTGAATACCAGAGTTCATCAACCCCCCCCCCCCCATCATGAGTTCATCTAATCCCCACATCTACATATACCTCTCTGCTATTCCTCACGTTTTGTCATTGTGTGAACAAAAACTCGTGGCTGAATGGACAGTTAGCCTATTTATCTTATTTAACTGTTACTGAAGTGGTGGTACTCCTTCGTAAAGTTATTTTTAATTTTTAAACTTGTGATGATAGCTTGACAATGAAAATAGTGGTTAATAGAATACAAACTTTAGGCCTGAATAAGTTTGGTTGAATAAGTTTGACAATGGAGATTCTTAAGTAGCCTATTTTTTTATAGTTTTCAAAATTTTTACTTCTTTTTCATGGTTTTCACCACTTTCACAACAGTTTTCTGTAATATCAGACCTTCCCGAGGCTGGTTTAGGCTGGATTAACAACATTCTACTGTAGGCTACTTCAAACAAAATTAAATAATTCTATTTGTTCCAATGAACTAACATGAAATAAGTTGTAGGCTAAGCAGATACTATTATTTCACTAAAACATTCACAGCTAACCATATTGATAAATGATTTTCTATCAAGATCATTACAAAATTTCAAACTCACAGTGAAACAGGTGTTTCCACATGGGCAACAGTGCGAGGTAGAAGCCAACGTCTCCGATGCTTGGATAGGATCGGAATATCGCAGAGAGAGCTGTAAGACTAGCAGCCAGCAGTGGAGGTTCCTTGTACAACCTCAATGCCAACGGAGCAACGTACAGAAGACTGGCGTTGAGTTGGAAAGCGCAAATAAACAGCGGTCTGAAGTGTTCAAACATCTCTGTGAAGAAATACCAGAACAGGCCGACGTTCGGCCGCAAGTCTGGAATGTTCAGGCTGAAACAAAACTAAAGAATCAGGAGAAATCTCAATGTTAGTTCTTGAAGGGAAAATACATGCTTTAACAATACATCAGGGCAAGTTGCATGCCTCTAGTGTATCTCAAGTTACCTGAGGCAGGTAACCTACCCGCAAACTGGTTTTGTGTGAATGTGGCTTTAGTGTTTACTTATGAAGGACCAGCTAGTATCCCATTTTGAGATGAACAAGCTATTTGCAGACACCCAACATGGCTTCACTGAGCATAAATCAACATTGACTGCCCTTTCAAGATTGGTGTCTGTCTAATGTCTTAGACAGTGAGGGAAAAGGATCAGTGTAAAATTCTTGCGGACTTTAGTAACTTTGTGAGCGTTTTTTCAAAAAGTTTCATTATAATTCTAGAATGGTTTTCATGGTCCAGTTTTACAATAATTGTTGTGCTCCTCCAACATCTTCAACAGATAGTCTCAATACATGGAGCCTAATCTTCCCTCCTTTCAGTTACCATGGTGTGCCGCAAGGCTCGGTCATGCTGTCATCACGGTCATGGGGTAGCGGATTTTTATCCCCCTGGAATTTTACCCCCTGGGCAAACGTGACGTCACAAACCAGGGGGTAAAATTCCGGCTGCGAACATTTGAGTTTCGCGACATCAGCTCGATGGATTAAACGCGGAATTAAACATATATTTTCACGGTTGTGAGTTTAATCAGAACACATCAAATTATAAAAACCTAGAATGTGCCGGCCCGGAATTTTACCCCCCGGAATTTTACCCCCCCGGAATTTTTCCCCCGGAATTTTACCCCCCGGAATTTTACCCCCCGGAATTTTACCCCCTGGCCAGATATAAATTAGTGAGAATGATTAATTATCGTAATTCAGTTTTAATTTGATGGTAAACATTTTATTATTAAGTAGCCTATCTTAATTTATATGTAACATTAACTAATCGAACAGGGTTTTAATATTAACGAGAGGTCGTCCAGTGGTCGAAACTCGACCAAAAATATGTAATGTACTCACTTAACTATTTTCACCCCACACTGTAAATAAAACACGTGATTGGAGTTTCCTCCATTTGTTTTGATTTTCTGTTTATATTTCGTTGTTATTTCGTAACCAGCATAGCAACGCATAAGATCCATGTTAATTTTTTACAACTTTTAAACTTATTTTTTGTGCTTATCTTTGAGCCTATTTAAATTTATAAAGGGATTCTGCACACCTACAGGAAAATAGCTTTCCAACGGTATGCGTAGATTTTCCCTACGATGCACACGAGCTGAGAAAAAAGGTTTTAAAGAAACATGCTTGCCTATTAATATATAGATAGATAGATTTTGAGATTCGAGTGTCAGGATTCGATCTTTGAAGCCAACTGTTGGTTAATATGATCAAAATAAAACAGCGAATTCTGTTTACTCAGTTGAGATTACAAAATAAATAAATAAAGATAAGCTACTAAATAATGAAATGTTTACAATTAATTAAAAACAGAAATTAAGAAAATCAATCATTCAATTTCTAAAATCAGCCAGGGGGTAAAATTCCGGGGGGTAAAATCAAAATCAAAATCAAAATCAAATCGTTTATTTGCACATTAGATTTGTATACAATAACATGTAACAAATATCATGCATCGTCAATATTTACAAACTAAAACTAAAACATACAACATGAGAATCTACATATATACACATTATAGGCTTAGAAATTCTGAGACGGAATAAACGGCATTTGAGCATAGAAAATATTTTAAGTTCCTCTTAAATAGGGACAAAGAGTCTTGGGATTTTATTGCCTGAGGCAATTTGTTAAAAAATTCGACCCCCCTGTAAAACGGACTCCTCTCAAAGGCCGCAGTTCTGTGCCTCGGATAACAGAGGATGCCTCCATTTCTCGTCCGGTGGTCATGGAAATGCCCTAGATGTTGAAATTGATCCCTGTTGACAAAGGTCAAAATGAGGACCTGCTGAATGTACAACGAATGTACTGTAAGGATGCCAGAATCTTTGAACACTTCCTTGCAAGGATGGCGATGGGAGAGACCGAAAATGCGCCTCAGAATCTTTTTTTGGAGCTTAAGTATTCTTTCCAAATCAGAAGAGCTTCCCCAAACGGCAATGCCATAACGCAAAATGCTTTCGCAATATCCACGATAGACGTCCACAAGAACTTCCCTGCTACAAGTTGAACTGATAATTCGAATGGCAAACAGAGCAGAACTGGTGCGGTTAACAACACTTTGCACGTGACCATACCATTTGATGGAGGAATCAAAAATGACACCTAGGAATTTTGTGGTCAATGAGGGATTAGTGAGCTGCGTTTCAGGACTACTTTGATTATTCTGAGACGAACCAATCAGACCAAAATTGAGACATTGTGTTTTGTCTTTGTTAAGGAGAAGACCATTGTACTCAAACCAACTATTTAAGCTCTTGATGACCGAAGTGAATCTGTTCTCTAAGCTGGTTGCATTTGGGGCCTTGATTAGAAGTGCTACATCGTCAGCGAATAAATTCATGTGACAGTCATTTCCTTCATAATGGAGATCATTGATGTACAATAGGAATAAAATAGGAGAGATAATGCATCCTTGGGGAACCCCTCGCCGAGAAAGCATGTAGGACGATGAGATCGGACCTGAGGAACTATTTATGGAAACCTTTTGATAACGGCCAGACAAGAAAGAGCGGAACCACTGCAGAGCAATGCCTCTGACACCATAATGAAAAAGTTTATCCAAGAGGATTGAATGGTCCACACAATCGAAAGCTTTGGATAAATCGCAGAAAACCCCCATCGTCCTCTGCGATTCATCCAGGGATCGCAATATCCGGTTCGTGAAGTCATAAAGAGCAGAAAGAGTGGACTTCCCTTTTTGGAAACCATATTGACGTGGACTTATGATATTAAACCTTGACAAATGACTAGAGAGACGACTAAGAACAACCTTTTCATAGATCTTTGATAATGCCGACACCAAAGCAACAGGCCGAAAGTCATTTGGCAAGTGGCTGTCATTATTTTTTTGAAGAGGGAATATATTTGCGAATTTGAGTTTTGATGGGAATTTTCCTTGCTCTAGGGACTGATTTATCAAAATAGACACAGGGTAAGCCAACTGATGACCACAAAATTTCAAAATATTTGGAGAGATTCCGGGGGGTAAAATTCCGGGGGGTAAAATTCCGGGGGGTAAAATTCCGGGGGTAAAATTCCGGGGGGTAAAATTCCGGCCCGTACATCTTCAGTTGCCTAAACGCTAGTTATATGGACAGGGGGTAAAATTCCGGTTTTTATCGCTAATCTAATTAATCACGCTCTGACTATTTTCATTAGACTTCCAAATCCGCGGGGGTAAAATTCCGGCCGCGAACAAACTTTTGGCCACTCAGGTTACTACGTCATAGTGACGTCAGCTTTGCCCAGGGGGTAAAATTCCAGGGGGATAAAATTCCGGCGACCCACGGTCATCACTGTTTATTATTGCATTAATTGATTTAAGGTTGCTAGGCGTTATATTGATCATTTCAGCTAGCACCACCTGTTGTTCAAAGGGCGAAACACCAGAAGCTGCAAGTCTAAAGGAAAATGGAATTTCCTACAAGGCCAGAAACTGGTTTGTAATAGGCTTAATGCTGTCCAAACTAACTTCTCCACCTGCTGTGTAGGCTTGGCTTAAGCCACTATTGTTGAAAGAACAACTGACCATCATCTATCATGGGCTCTTACATAGCCATCTTAGCTATCGCTTGTAGCTATGGGGTGGTCATGTGTCTAGTTGTAAAGCCGTCCTGCTTCTAAAGGAAAAAAAACTGTTGGATAGTCTAGCTTTAGCTGATCATCTAGACCACTGTAGGCAATTTTTTTGCAGCTGAGGTCATAGAGTACAGCAATTACAATTTTGTAAGCCTACTCCATGTCAAGACCAAAATAAACACCTTTAAAAGAGAAGGGATACACAGCCTGCATCCTTGTCATAGCATCACATAAAACCTCCCGCACTGCAAACTTAATTTTAACTTAAAGCCAAACCACATTCAATTGTTTAGTGATTGTATAGCTACATACATGAATCCATATGTGGAATGTAGAAAGTGCCAGCTACCACTAATGTGATAGCAAGCACCGAGAAGGCCCACCAAGGGGACGACAAAGGCTACGATGAGGAGCGCAACTCTAGCAGAGGCGGAGGATCGAGCGCCACCCGACTGAGCGGCAAGTAGAGTGGCCGGCACGATCAGTGAGGCGGGATACAAGGACTGTAGAGTCGCCAGGGCCAAGGAGAAGCCACACACCAACAAATGACCTGTGGGGAAAATCAAATTTGTAAAGTCAACAACAGTACTGTAGGTATGGGTGCTGGTGACGGTTACACAAAGAATATTCAACGCTCACTAAATGTAAGATTGAAGATTTCGAGGCTATAATTAATCTGTTCATGGTTGATTGAAACAGTAATTTTCTAAATTAGGCGAGCACAAGAAACACTCAAATATCCAAGCTATAACAGATGGTAAGCTTGCCGGTAAACACGTTTTTTATCCACGGTGAACAAAAAAAAAACCAAGCATTTTTACTTATAGAACATACTAACTAACTACCAAAATTACACGAAACCGTGAAAAGTTGTTTTTGTTTTGTCCCTCTCAAAAGGAAGCGAAGTCAGTTCAATTGATTTGACATTCCGAAGTATGACTCGTTGGTTATTTTCAAATGGTGTAGTAGCCTACAAGATCAACATACTTGGTACACCCTAACCTAAAGTAACCACTGCAGTGTGTGTTGTCAAAAAGTGGCATAAGTACAGAATAATCCAAAATAGTGGTGGTATCTGTCTGTGTATCTATTTGTTCTATGTAAATGAAACTATACTGATCTGATTTAACTATAATTCAGCACAGAGGTACAGTTCATGGTTCGTGAATGAACAAAATCAACATAGACCTACCGGTACCTACTCATAAACTTTAAAATTCCCAAAGCCCAATTTAATCTCCTTTCAATTAATTAGCTCATGTTATTCGCTGTGACCCTTGGCTGGAATATATTATTGATAAAATAGAAGAATTACCTTATCCAACCACAGTTGCTGGTATGACAACTAGTTTCGTTCCTTAGAACTTCGTCAGGTCATTGTATGCAACCACAGTCAGTTATGCCAAACATTTAATATCAGAATCACACAACTACAACACATCTATTGATAAGAACATGGAAATAGTTGGGAGTATTAACAAAAAGTTTTAAGCTTGATGTTAAAGAAGAATTCGCCATCTATAAAACTAAAAAGCTCGACCCTTTCAAGGTTTTAAATTATCAGACTTCCTTCCAGTCAAATATTATATTTGATACATAGGCCTATATTCAAAAGCTATAAATCAAAGAAGTATTGAATAAGAAGAACAAAACCAACTGAAATACAGGTGGCACTGGAGAGATGAAGATGAAGACACCTCATGATTCAGTCAGTTTTATTTAGTCAGTGACAGTGATAAGACAGTGCTGGCCAGCTTTTACAGTTTTTAACCAGTTTTATCACTTTTTATTCAGTTTTAATAATTTGATCAACATGACTAGTTTTTACTATTGTGATTCTGACAGTGTTTTAAAGAATCTTTTGACATACCACAATGTATTAATACACTGATGATGTGGTTGCATACAATGACCTGACGAAGTTTAAGGAACGAAACTAGTTGTCATACCAGCAACTGTGGTTGGATAAGGTAATTCTCCTATTTTATCAATTAATTAGCATAAAGATTGTATGTTTTTAAGCGGCTTCAGTATTACATGTGAAAAATCACCAACTTACCATGAAGCATGGAGCAAAAGAACACAGCTAGACCGAGGTTGGCAAACACCGTGGTGGTGTGGGCTGCACAGCTCAGTATTGTGTAGGGGTTGAAGAGATAAGCAGCTAGTACATACATCGGAGCGGAACTGAGCTCCTGCTCAGTCAGCAGAAGTTTCTCCACCCCTTCTGCATAGCCAGCTTTCTCTCTCGTCTGGCGATCCATCTGCGAAGAAGGATGGCGACCGTTATTGAAGTTAAACATCTTTCCTTAAGTTAGATTTAAGTTAAACATCTTTGATGTAAGAATAGTTATACCTTCATGAATTAGGCCTAGACAGAACATTGGCAAATGACTTTCAGTATTTTAAAATTTAATTATTTTATGACCAAGTTTATTTTATAGTAGCCAAAATTTGATAGATTAAGTTATACAACTGTTAAAACATAAAGTTCCTGTTTTATTGCATGTTATAAAGTTCGTTTCAGCTGTTATTATGCAACCAAAAGGAGAGTGAGCGTATCCAACGAACTTCAACCAGAACGTGATTGAGCGATGTGAACAAGCTCATCTTGAAAATGAACGAGCATTAGACTTAAAACCTCATTAGGTCATGCAGAGTTTTTGAATAGGGTTTTACCTAAAGGGGTTTTGAGATAAGAATAGCTAGGTCGATATGTTAACAGGGCTGTATGCTCATATGAAGATGAGCAATCATCGTGCCAAATTTCAACCCAATCTGATCATGGTTAATGCGTGACTGAGCCCTAAACAAATTGAGATAAAAATAAAAAATTCTAGCATCGAAAGGGTTAATCAATTTCATTCTTAAAATTGCTTTACAAACCGCAACCTAAGGCTTACTGACAGAAAAATAGTGTTTATACTTACCAAAAGCTTCATACATTGTTTGGCTGCTTTGTATAGTAAAAATGCTGATAGTAAGTCACAGGTAATAAAGACGATATTCAGCCATCGAGGAATATTGTGTATCATCCAATGAAACGCTATCAAGGCAATAGGAGTTTCATGGAACATGTCCCCAATGTAGGGGTCTGTACCTTCTTCATACAAAACCACTCCTTCTGTGACTGAAAGAAATATGTTTTTTAGCCTATTTTAACTTAACAAAAGCGACATTTGTAGTTTTCTCAACTCTGCCTAAACACAGTCAAAGCAAACTTAAAAGTTCCAGACTTTAGAACTTAAGTTCCAAGTCGTACGTAAGTTTAAGTTAGCTCTTGCTTATTTCCAATTGTTTTAACTTAATGTATGTTTGTTAAAACAGATAGAAAAAATAAGGCAATTTAATTTCAGATCCATGCTCATTAAAAATACTATCTAAGTTAGGCCTAAGTTACGTAAATTTTGAAACAAGAGGCACAGTAAACTTAGGCCAACCTCGGTTTGGAGCCAGAAAACACAACAAATTGCTGTGTTTGTCCTACGTAATTTTAAAATTCTAAAAGGAAAAAAAAATTCTTATGACGATTAATCCATGGCCTAAAATAAGCAATGGTCTTGGAACAGGTCTTGCAAAGCCGACTAGACTGTCGCGTACAACGTATCCTTAACTTTACTTACTTCTTAAAAGAGAAGTAAACTTAAAAAACGATCTAGCTACGACTCTAGTAATATAATTATTCTTAACTTAAGTTATTTTAAGTGGAAAGTTATAACTTACACATGTTATGCTGTGGATTAACATAATATATCTCATAAAAACGTTCACTACCACAAGTAGGCTACTAAAATTTTCATTCATATGGACCTGCGACGGCCGGTTTCTACCCATAGACTTCCGTCCCATATTACTTATGATGATTAACTTAGTGACATCTTATGACAGTTGGCGGTAATTATTTGGACGTAGTGACTACTCGCAAAAGTGAAATTTTTGTTTTTCATAATGACCTAAATTTCACGCTGAATCCGAAAATGACGTTTTTATTTTTCGGAAAATACCGGAAATTCCCGAAAAAAGGGAAAAACGGGAAAAAATATTGTTTACTCAAAATACGTCATGTGGGTACTCAAAATACGCGGGATATTGTGTAGATTAAGAATATGCAAGAATTTTTTTGATCCGATGAAAAACACCGGAGATAGGGCGAAAAAACGGTGAATAATCGGTTAGGTTAGGCTTGGTTAGGTTAGGTTAGGTTAGGTTAGGTTAGGTTAGGTTAGGTTCGGTTAGATAAGGTTAGGTTCGGTTCGGTAAGATTAGGTTAGGTTTGGTTAGGTCAGGTTAGGTTCGGTTAGGTTAGGTTAGTTTAGGTTAGTTTATCAATAACATGAGTATTGTAAGTAAACTAACCTAACCTAACCTACCCTAACCTTACCTAACCAAACCTAACCTGACCTAACCAAACCTAACCTAACCTAACCCGAAAATGTGCGATGTTATTTTAGATTTTTTGTTTAACGTTTGTTTGTGTTAAAATACCAGCTGATCAGCTGGTCTTTATTTTATTATTATTGTTTATGTTAGATTGAGTTAGGTTACGTTAGGTTGAGTTAGATTAGGTTAGGTTAGGTTTGGTTAGGTTAGGTTAGGTTAGGTTAGTTTACTTACAATACTCATGTTATTGATAAACTAACCTAAACTAACCTAACCTAACCGAACCTAACCAAACTTAACCGAACCTAACCAAACCTAACCAAACCTAACCAAACCTAACCGAACCGAACCTAACCGAACCGAACCGAACCGAACCTAACCGAACCTAACCTAACCTAACCTAACCTAACCTAACCAAGCCTAACCTAACCGATTATTCACCGTTTTTTCGCCCTATCTCCGGTGTTTTTCATCGGATCAAAAAAATTGCATATTCTTAATCTACACAATATCCCGCGTATTTTGAGTACCCACATGACGTATTTTGAGTAAAAAATATTTTTTCCCGTTTTTCCCTTTTTTCGGGAATTTCCGGTATTTTCTGAAAAATAAAAACGTCATATTCGGATTCAGCGTGAAATTTAGGTCATTATGAAAAACAAAAATTTCACTTTTGCGAGTAGTCACTACGTCCAAATAATTACCCAGTTGGCTTAGCTGTATCACTGGCCCAAGATCTGCTTGTACTGTTAACCAGGTGATACTCCGTTCTAACTTATGTGTAGGCTAATATTAAAAAGTAACTTATACCTCGGGCCAGGGCAATGAGCACACATATGTGGCGATCAGTAGCAAACGTGTTAACTTCAGCCTAAGCTAACGGAATGTGTCAATTGAGGTCTATCTAAAGTAAGTTAGGTCAAGCCCTACCGGGAGTAAGTAGCATACTTTGAATAAAAATTGTTGGATCCTTTTACAAATTTTAAAAGACACTGTAGCCTTTTTTGTCGCCCTAGGACACTAGGCACAAACCCAATTGTTTTTCACACTACTTCAGGCTAGACCTAGGGGTTGGATAAAATCCATTGGTGACTTGGTGGGATTTGAACCTGGGTCCTAAGGGACCGAAGTCCCACGCCCTAACCACTAGAACAGCCCCCTTACCAAAATGGTAACTTAAATACTAATTAGGTTAAATGAACATTCAACATTTAGCGTAGGCCTACCTCTTTTCCATGAGTTGAGTGGTGTGGAAATCTCCACACGATCTGATATTACTTGTTTGTAATCCGACAAACAAAGCCATAACCGAATTAGGAACGCAACTAAAAATTCTAATATAAAAAGGAAATCCATAGCTGTAATTACAAAAACGTCAAGATTTCATCATTAAATTAGTAGGCCTAAAAGGGCTAGGCCTAATTTCTTAAGATAGGCATGGCCTAGCTCAAAATTGGAATAATGCTCAAAGGGAATAATGCTATACTGACTGCTTTTTGGTAGGAAATCAATGGATTGTTGGTAACTCTGACACGTATAAGTAATGTTTGATGAATTAAATGTACACTAACAACTTCTTCGGAGTAAGTAAATGAAATAATAGACCACTCCCGACTTTCAAGAAGCGCTAACACCGGTATTTTTTTACAGTCAGTCAATAACCAACTAGCAACCAGTTTCAGTTTTTTTTTTTTTTTTTTTTTTTTTTTTTTTTTTTTTCTTGCCGAAAAGGCGGTCTGGGTTTTTTTACCCATGAGACCTCAATGTTCTCTGTGGTTGTCCGTTGGTAAACACAATCTTATTTTCCAGATAATTCAATGGTGAATAGATTTTGTTAGTAATAAACATAGATGTGGTATATCGAGGTGTATGTTGTTTTTGTTAATTAAAAGTAGGATTCGGGATTCTAAAGATTTGACGGATTTCATGAAATGGAAGGTTAAGGTGACTCTTCTCTGCTTGGGGCCGATCAAGCAATGTCCTAACCCGAAACAAGGTTGGCCACGGATGAAGCACCCAAAGGATTGAGAAAACATATATGTACTTGTTGAGCTGTGTTTTGTGTTCTATGTTTTGTGATATGGGTTTGCATGTTTTTATATTCTTTTCTTTATTGCTTTTAAGTATTTGTTTATTTCAGCGTGGATTTTTTCATCTGCAATTTTCATTGTGTCGGTTAGGTTCTTTGAAAAGATTTTGACAATCGGAATTGACACTTGACAGACCAAACGAGCATCTAGAAACAAACGGACGAGGAGGTAGAGTTCTGAGAGACACCAATGGCATTGAGTGTGTACTGTAACTACGTTACACTCTCCATCATTGTGTTTGGACCGTAGATTTGTTGTCCATAGTTTGGATACTGCTGTAGCTGTACACATTCCATCGATCAACATAAACAAGCTGGTGGTTTTGGATAAAATATTGGATTTATAATTTTAATCAATGAAGGGAGTATTACGAAATTCTCACGAAGACGTGTAAATAAACGGGGATTATACCAAGGATTAATATAGATGGATATACATTTATTATTTACTTACATACTGTATTTATTTACTTACTTCACTTTTCCAGAAATTAGCTACTTACTGATATGGCTATGTCATTCACTTGTAAAAGATCAAGTAAAGTGCAAGACTGGTCTAGGCGTGGACAGATCAGCAGATGGTCTGGATCCTGAACAGCACCACATGCACACAAGGTGTTTAATTAGTCTGGTATGAGACCCCATTTCTGCATGTTTTTCTTGCATTTTGGTACCTCACTCAACCCTGATTCGATTAAGGGTCTTCCACGCCGTGTAATGTAGGCCTCCTCCAGGAGCCAGTTCCTCTCTGGCTGGTATGGGAGGGTTCGTCAACGTGGCCTCCCACCTTGCCACCCGATTGAGAATGATCAATCCAGGGGACCATTTCATAATGTACAAACTAATATTATTAGTAAATCAGCTGATCGCCCAATGCAAATCTAATGTAAAATACAAGTTACAAGTCGTAACTTGTAACTTGTAGTTTATTATGAAATGGCCCCCAGGACTCGTGTCCGTGATAAAAAGTTCTTTCTGGACCGAAGTCGTCGCTCTACAGGTTGGTGGCCGTGTAATGGTTGACGATGGTTGGGCCCTCTTCTTTAGCATTATGTTATTTGTACTATTTATATGTTATAACAACAATATCAACAAGGTGAGATGCACGACTTTGTCACGTTCTAAGTTGACTGTACAGAGTTTAATCGATAAACCGGCGCCTTCATAATTTGTTACTAGACATACAATAATTATATTTAAACTGGTACAACATTCTTTAGTATTATGTTATTTTTGTACTATTTATACGTTAACAAACGGTAGTATAAAAAATCAGATCGACCTTATCATAAATGATCTTATCATTCTGAGTTGACTGAACAGAGATTAATCAATAAACCAACGCCTTTTTAATTTGTAACAAAAATAAAATTATAGTGATAAACTAGAAAAAATAACTTTTCTGTTCTTTGTAGATCTTTTCTAAGGTGTTCATGAGGAACAAAACAGTTCTTTTCTTATGTGGCTGCCATCGAGGATTAGTTTGGTGGAGCTTTGTGGTCAAAAGTAATCTGCTCAACGTTGATTGGTCGGTTTGATGACGAGGAAGCACTGATTGGCCGACAGTTGATAAGTTTACAGTTAATTGCCTGATTTTAAGTCTGCCAATTTCCGCGATGGTTTTTGTATTTCATTTGTCCAGAACTTTCGTGAAACATAATATTTGTAATAAAATACAATCTCTCGAATTGTATCAGATAGACAAATCATTGGTGATTGTTCAACAGATTGAATTTTTGTCATGAACACTATAATAACGTCATGTTTTATTTGACAATGCAAACACACAAAACCTCAGCAAATATGGTCTGGCAAAAAGTGGAAGGAATGAAAGAATTTTAATTGATTTTTTCCCCTTTAAAACTGGCACTATTTGATGCTATGAGACGTCGACAATTTTAAATACCGCCGCAGCAAACCTGCAGACTAAGCGAATTTCCATTTACCTGACTGGATTTCTACTAAAATATTTCCTAAAAATTGCCAGCTTTATTTCCTATCTAAGAAACATTAATTTTTAGTGATTACTTAGGTTTGCTGCTACAGGGAAGATATTGAGGTGTGCTTTATTGCAATGTTGATAGCTTAGTATGAAATAAGAAAACATTATAAAATTTGGATAAAATATATCCATAAACAAGTAAACTACAACAATTTATTTATTCTCCATAAGAATAACATGGATATTTTAAATTTGCAATTTTTTAAATTATCTCTATAACCGTTGGGCATACAACAACACTTCAATTTACAAAATATTTTTTTTAAAGCTCAACAAAATGGTTTGGAGAGAAATTATGAAATTTGGTGTTTTTAGAAAACCTATTTTTACCCCATAAAACCCCCAAATAAACGTGTTCCCATAGTCCGATTATGCTGGTTCGAATAAAAGTAGGTTTACATGTTTGTACCAAATTTAATCATAATTGATTCATTTTTGCTCGAGTTATCACGCTAACGGACATATATATACCAACGGCCGGAAATGACCACCTTGTAAAAATGAAGTACTTAACTACCCAACAATGTTTGGAAGTGGTCTGAGATTCATATTTGAAAAAATGTAGAAATAAGTTGGGGGGGGGGGCAATTAAAACTCACCCTGTATATATGTACATGCATTTTAACGGATGGTGTTTTTGACCTCTGGGGACCTCAAAATGAAAAAGTAAATTGGTCCCGGGTCTAGGTTTTACCATGAGACCTACGGTAATAGCTTATTCCCTATATGGGAAATCCATTAAAAGCAACTACAGTACTTGAAGCGTAAGCCAGGTCCTAGGGGTTGTTTTTACTTTTGCGTAATTTCTGACTGACTCTAGTTCGTTTAGTTTTGATTTGAAAGTGTAAATACTGTTTCTGTGAAATGTACACAGAGAAAGTGCAAGAAATGCTATGTGGCACTCCACCGTGCTGAATTTTTCTACTAAAATAAAGAGTATTCATTAATTCCCCCGTTTTCTCATTAACACGTTTAATTTAATTTCATTCGGTTAAAACTGGATGTAAAGTTGGATATTTTTTTGTATTCACAGTAAAGACATAGTCATCAGTGTATATTATTCCGCAAGTACGAGTTTGCTATCGGAATGATGTTGTAAAGGCCTCTAACTTCCTTCAGATTGAACATTTTAGAATCTAATGCAGTCAATGTATGTCAACTAAGTGCATCATTATTTTAAGATAGCTAAGTAGTTTAAGATTTTTGTTAACTGTTCTAATTGTTTAGTATTATATTTTAATAGCGTTAAAAATTAGGCTGCGTTGTAATCTAATACACTAGATATCTTTAATGAAAAGGTGAAGGAGCGAGCTGGTCAATTGGTAAATCGCGTGACTTCTGCCCCCGAGGATCCGGTCCAAATCTTGTCAATCACCAAAAGGGCTTAGCTATATGAGAACTCTCTTTGCCTAGTCGGAAGTCATAAAATGTAAAACGGTTTTGGGCTTCCTAGAATGCGAAGCTGGGACGAAAAGACACAGTTAATTGCAGTATAAAACAACATACTATTATATATTAAAAAGTTAACATGGGAAAATAATTCTGTTATTTCAGTTATGATATAACTGTTTACCAAACGAATGAACGTTCTAATAAAAATTAAAATGTTACTACTTGGTATTCTTTTGGGGGAGCGAGCTGGTCTAGTGGTTAGAGCGCGGATTTCAGTCCCTGAGGTCCCAGGTTCAAATCCTGCCAAATCACCAATGGATTTTATTCAAGTGATAACGCCGCAACCCCTAGGTCTAGTCTGAAGTAATGTGAAAAACAATCCCGGGCTCGTGCCTATCGTCTTAGGAAACAAAAACAATAAAAAACTTGGTATTCCTTTACTGAGCCTAGGATACAACTGGAGGTAGCACTGAATCAGAGAATTACGAGAAGTTGGGCGCCATTTGTACTGCGGTGTACTCTGTAATTAGTCTATTAGAACTAATGGATAGTGGGATTGTACATGTACATTTAGCCATGAGCCAATGAGCGGATTCTCCTAGTTGGTACGTACTTAAAAATACAGCGTCTCGATTTTCTAGGAGAGATGCCTTGTCAGTGCTACCTTGCATATTTAATAAGTATTGCATTTGTTTAGGTACATTAAATAAGTAAGTAGCTTCCCCAAACTAATGGGTGTTTCTAGATCAGCGATTAATTTGCCTTGTTATGGTAATTCAGCCAAAAAAGTAAAAATAATATTGGGTAGAGATTCTGAATCATTGAGTTTGAATGCATTTTAAGCTGTATAAAGAGATTTGGTTTGATCAATATTTTAGATGGGTACACTTCCATATCTGTTGGCACAAACAACCGAATGAGTAATATCGATCGATATATCGATTACAATATTACTCATTCGGTTGTTTGTGCCAGCAGATATGGAAGTGTGCCCTTATGGCTAAGGAACAAAGTGATCTTTAGTCAGTAACAAAGACGTAGTGGAAGTTTGATGTAATAAAAAAATCCAAAATGGTTATAATTGTAAAAAAAACCAAAGGTATATATTTTTTTAATTATTTAACCCTTTTTACTCCAATTACGGGAGGCATAGTTTCTCACCAGCTCCATC